CAAAGAAAAAAATACACCGCTATTAAAACACGCCGTGATTTTGCTACCGTACATATGCAGGCAGCCTTGAGGCCTTGTTTGAAACACTTTTGAAATCCTTTATATTCAGTTCGCTTGCTTGCTTGCTTACGACCGTGCAAATCTTTCGGTCGTTTTTTAACCCACTTCCCGTGACCCAATCGAGCTGACATTTTGCACACAGACTCGTTGTGCGTGACAATTAATTTTCGCGAAAAAAAATTCCGAAATTTTACACTGTTTAGGGAATTTTTTAAAAATATTTAATTACCAATTGCTTAATGCTGGCAGACAATCATCTGACCCATAGGTGGCAGCCATCTCAAGCCAGAGGACGAGAGGACTCTAGCCGCCACGCATATAAAGGATTTATAGTGAAAAACTTTGTTTTTACGGGTTAATGTTTTAAAAGCTAAGCGGATTTTGGGCAGCTTGCAGCTGGAATAAGGATGCTGCAGTGGTGCGATGGTCAGCACACGTGAGACGCTGCTGCACATGTCTTAAAGACTCCTCTGCCCACCCAGCAGTACGAACCGGGTACACCACATTTCGTCAATCGGTAAGGTCACCTATGGTGGCGTGAAGTGTGTGTGTACTCCCACCTCTTCCAAGGCATCTGGGCAGTGTGGAAGAGTAGGCCAAATACGTTGTACAGGGGCTGCCTCGAGAACCCTCTCGAGTGGAGACCCTTCCACCAGCAGTGGCGTGAGAAAGCAATTGCAGGGCTGCACCTTTATGTGTCTACACATATGCGCTGTGCCGTTAGAAGGTAGGAATGTACACACATCAATCGTGCATGTAAAATCATATTACTTCTGATGCTTTAGTTCAGTACATGCACCAGAGGTAACAAAGCATTATTCATTCATCAACATGATCTCGAATCGTGACAATTCATCACGTAGTATAGTCAAGGTGTGATTTGTTACATCAAGAAGGACAAATAAAGTCACGATGCAAATCATGAATTACTCAGAGTAGGTCCTGTTCTCTGTAAAATAAAAATAAAAAATGTGGAATAATGTGCTTCTGCAGGAGAGACATTTTCACCAGTTGCAAATAGCGCTGGGTAAATAATTTCGCCTTCAAAATAGGTACATCAACCAGATTATCGCATCGCAGATTTCAATGCTCGTGTTACAATGGTAACGCGTGTGCCTCGTAGCAAGAACCTGGGTTCGATTTCTGACTCTGGTATCTTTCTGTATGAAGTTGATTGTGTTCTTCCCCTGTTCCAAATGAATTTCTTCTGGATTCTCCAGTTTCCTCTCGTAAAAAAAACGTTGGCCGAAACCACTGAATGTTTGCAGGACCCTTCTGAAAAAAAACCATTTGAACTCAGTGCGACTTTAGTGGATAGATAAGTCAAAATAATAATTTCCAGGCAGGATGTTTTTCCCGATTTGGTGAGCCAGGTTTCCATGGCCTTTCCCTCCTTGGTCCGTAATGTAATCCAAAGTCATTCAACCAAGACGTAACGACAGTGCAGCACACTGCCGCAGATTTAGATGAACAATCAAATACAACAAAACATTGCACCGATAATGGCCACAATGCAATCTCTAGTCAATCCACCACAGTGGATTACATGGTATTATTAGACAAAACAAATGTTAACTGCCTACATTTTTTGCACCTTTCTAAAGTGCAGTATTTATAGGTTAGATTACAACATTGTGTTAATTGCGCGTCTTTATTCCTGTGTTGTCTGGGTTTCTGCCTTCATTTTCACTTTCGTGGTGTACTCATAATTTAAATTCAGCCCTTCAGGAAATACTGCAATCTCATTGGACTCTCGTCTTGCTATAATTAAAGGACTTTGATGAGGATGTGACTACGACTTCATATAGTCTACGGTAAAAAAATGAAGCCAAATGGACTGCGCCAAATCGATGGTAGAATTAATTCGGTCTGTGGCTTTCGAGGGAGATTGATGCTGGTGTGGGTGGAATGGTGGATTTCATGTGCAGCTTTGGATGTGGACTGGACTGGCCTCTATTCTGGCTCAACATTCCCTGGACATCGCAGAGCACGTCCACAACATTCAAACGAATCGACAATATCAGCTCGTGTTGCTGGAGTTAGGTTGATTGTTACATCTCGAGATTGTGAGAGATATTCTCGATTTGAAGCTTTCGTGACTGCAAGGATTCATACTTGTTTTTTTTTTGTAAAGTCACGTAGGTAAAACAATAAATAAAATAAATGAAAACTAAATTTAGTTGAAACTATAAATCATCTTCTTGGTTCTTTCGGTAAAGTCACGTAGAAGGGAAGTAATAAAATAATAAAAATAAAACATAATAATATTATTTTATTACTTCCATTCTACGTGACTTTACCAAAAGAACCGAGAAGATGAATCCTGCAGTCATAAAAGCTTTAAATCGAAACAATAAATAAATGTAGTTGTTTTCATTTATTTTATTTGTTTTACCTACGTAACTTTACCGAAAAAAACAAAGAGTATTGGGTGAGATAGGCTGCAACTTGGGGGGGGGACCCTTTATCCAGCAGTGGATAGACCAAGGCCGACGGTGACGATTGGCCCACCTATGCGCACGAGGCTGCTTTGTATCGTGACGCGTGCGTTTTGTGTTGTCCCGTTGACAATGTTCCAGCACGTCTTCGCCTTCCCTTCTCCTCTACCCGGTGATGTTGTATCGCCGGCACGAGTATGTAATGCACTTGGAGCCGTTTGTATTGAAGCCCGTAAATAAACACATGCAAATCATAAATACTATTCCACCGGGCGATCATTCCCACCACGACCGGCGAAAAAAATTGCCTCTCCTGTCCACGCAATCGACGCTAACGAGGACTTGTTTATAACGAGGGACAACCTGGGAGCGACGGGAAACCGGTGCTGATGTAGCTTGCCGGGGTCCTCCCTAACTCACCGGTCAGAAATGTTTATCAGCCGCTGTCAACAGAATTGCTTCGCGGGTGATGAAATGAACACTTCATATGTGCCTCGGGCCGTCTACTTTGATTTTTGGGTTCAAGTAATTGAAGGCTTATTTATTATCGGTGACGCCACAGCCAATTTAACGTAGAGGTGAAGGATGATGCTCTGTCGCCAAACGCACGACAATGCACTTGATCACTGGCTTCAAAAGCCCTTTTCCACGAGCTTCCGTACCACACGACTCGCCAAGCTGGCCAGGTGTGCACAGCGTCCAGAGCGGTCGGCTCGCAATCGGAAGATCAAATCGTGTTCGGGGGTTCGGGGTTCAACGAAGCCCATCATCCGAGGTGGAGAAAAGATAAAAAAAGTAACCGCTTTCTGCGGAAGTCAACAGCGGCTGTCCTCTGGATATACTCATCCCCGGCATAGGAATGTGGAATTCTCAAAATTTGCTCAGGGCGGTAAATGAGCCTCCGCTTCAATGCTCATTTGAACAGGAAGTCACCGACTTGTCGTTCCATTACTCGGTAAAGGGTTTCCCCATGCCATGCCAGCACTGTGAATTGATTGACCATACTTCAACCAGGCTGGCCAGTGTTGGTCGGTAAAGTTAGGTGGTGGAGGAAAAGCCAGACTCGGTTCAGATATAAATCACCAAATCAAATTCACGTTGCTGGCCTCATAGCGCAGTGTTATAACCACTGCCCCGCCACTCCAAGCCCCCACTGTTACCTAATATAACCGATCCATAACACTTTTGCACTGCATAATTATTATAAACTACCTTGAACCAATATTCAACACTTACATCAGTGTAATTTATTTTCACATTGATGGCTATGGATTTTAGGAAAGGCTATCAGGGAAGATTACCATCACTCCGAACACGTAGGACCATGTATTGTGGTTATAGGTGTGCAGGGTATAATACGAAGAGCAGAATTAGCTAAATTGAAGAGATGACAATGGTTGTGGCACTTATTTCTCCCTGTAATTCCATCTCCACAAAAAAAGCTTTACAACACAAAATGCATGCATGCACTCACAGCTGACTGAAGCACACTATTTTAACTTGGCAGTGTGATGATTGCTACAATTTGTGGTTGAAATTCAATTCAAGAATCAATTCCTTTTTGACGACTCATTCTTACCGTCTCGTCTGCATCGGGGTTTTTTTCTTGCTTATTTGTAGACTTTTGTTCACTCCGCTAACCTCAATGTAACCATCTGTTATTATTTTACACATCGTGTAAATCATTCTCACATACACAATTTTGCATGACCATCAGAATTTATTTAAATTAATGAAACGTCACATGTCTACAGCACTGCTTTACTATAATTTATCTTATTTCCTTTATAAATGATGTATATGATCACGAGTGAACCACATGACCAACACAGCAACTGTGAACAAGACAAATAGCAATTCGTATCTTTGCTCATGGCATCTCAGAAATCGGTCAACTCCCTACTTACCGCGATGGGCATCAAGGTCGCAATCTTCTGGCTAGCCAGGGTATGGAACTACAGCAAGTTAATTAATGTCCATCTCAACGGGGTTATTGAGTGTTACCCCTCCCCCCGTCGCCCCCCCCCCCCCCCCCTGCAGAGGTCGCAAATGGGTTTTGATTCCTTACCGTACCCGGCCGCACCAGGGTCGCAAACGGGTACCCGTACCCGGCCGTACCCGTACCCTACCCGTACCCGGCCGGGTACGGGTAGGGTACGGGTATCGGGTACCTGATTGCGACCTCTGGGAAGAAGCTATGTTGCAGGCGCGGGTGGGTTGATTCTAGGAACTTGAATTGTGAGAAGAGACAAGACGTTGGGAAATGGGTGACAGTTACTCACCAGTAACTCACGGTCTACCCGTACCCATACCCGGCCGCACCAGGGTTGCAAACGGGTACCCGTACCCGGCTGGGTATGGGTAGCCGGGTATCAGGTAGGGTACGGGTATCGGGTACCCGGTTGTGACTTCTGCCCCCCTGGCTCCCCCCTCCCCCCTGACTCCCTCCTGACTCCCCCCCCTACTTCCCCTCCCCCGACAAACCGCACCCCCCCCCCCCCCGCTACTCTCCCATGCTGTAGTTTTCACGAGATGCTCCGGTTTCCTTCCACGTGTATAAAAACTCAAATGGAGTTGGCCAAACATCCCAATATAGGGCCACAGAGCTTGGGCAATTGTTGACGCCGGTTCTGGCTGCCTCCCCCCTTGCCTGTGGTTTCGCGTACCTCCGAGGGCAAACAAAACACTGTGCATATAAAAAATAAAAATCCAAATTAAGGTTCTCACTAAATACAGAAAATAAAAACGTACATGTTAGACAAGTGTGAAACAATTGCTCACAGCTAGCTTTGATAAACCGGGATTCTATTCACTCACACAGCTAGATACTTATGTTTGCCTGGCCGGATAATACAAGTTTGGAAAGCCATTGGGCTGGCTGAACGATGGACTCAAAAGTATTCTACCGTTATTTGGATAGAGGAACGAAAGCCTGTTTCCTCTCATTGCCTATAAGTCTCCACGACGACCAACGTGGTGAAGTATGGTCATATAACCTGTGTTACCGACACGGCGTAGGGAGACCTGCCTTCATCCAGCAGTGGATCAACAAAGGCGCATACATTCACTCAACAATCCACAAATTATGCGACAAACTCATTTCTTTAGAACTGCTTTTTGTGTTTAGTTTGTTGTCCTTCCCCCGCACCTCCAATTAGCACAGTTGGCTACGTACGGTGCGAACAAAGTTCAACATACATCCACACACTCGTTCAATCTAACAAGCAAACACGTCACACGTTGGGTTGTGGACAAGCGGATCCAGCGAGCGGGTAGCTTCTTTGAGTTCCCTTTGTGTCGTCATCAGTGGGAGGCGCAGCATCGCATCTCTCAGTTGTCCAGGTGTTTGCACAGACGTCGCACTTTCTCCTTCTTGTTGCGGTTGCCATGCTTCTTCCAGGGCTTCCCCTCGGCGGCAGGGGCAGCCGGGGTGGCGTTGGCAGCGTGCGGCACCGCTCCGCCCGGATGTGGACCCATCAAGCCCCGCACGCCCTTGGTGAATGCCCTGACGTTGTCCTGTCAAAAGCGCACGGGCACAATAACAACGCTCAGGAGCAGAAAAATAGGAAAAGAGGATGTGGTGGTGGTGGTATCACTCGAAATAAATAAAAGTCAAGCGTCTCCCCCCTTGTTCCAATGTGTACTGGACGACGCTCATCTCGATTGGTAACCCTTAACCACTGATGGAAATTCCACCTTTGTGTGGTCAAGGCCAGCCTCTCCATAGGGCGAACACTTAAAACAGCGGGGATGATAATGTCCACGTAAGAGAAATGAGCAAACCACCGAAGATCATGGGATCTGCACGTAGTAACGATTCACTCACTTGCACGATTCGGCTATAAAGCTTAGTTTCAAGAGTACAACTCTTAACGTGTTCAAGTCCCTGAAGCCTTTCCCGTTCCGAGACGACTACAAGTTGCAGGGTGGGGTTCCATTCACGGCTGAATCTCGGAATGTGCAAGTGGTTCAGCATCAATTTTATTTAGAGAGGCGTAGCTTCGTTGTTTTTAAAGAAATTGCACTCACCGCAGAGAACCGTAGCGACACGACCGCACTCTATGATAGCCGATACAAAACTGTGCCACACGCCCTCCCGCTTGGCCTTGTGGGAGCCTCGGTAACGATAAAGTTACTTAATTTTATTTTTCATTCCGGTTCGGTTCAGATGACATATACTTACGGCATCGGAATGGAATCTGAAGAAAAACTGATGACGTACACGTTACATCATTGGAACGGTGAAGGATTAAATATTGGAAATGTGATGGTCTCATATGATGGCCTAGCGATGGGGGAGGATATGACCGGTTCAGATGTGACTTTACCACCGATCTTACCCATGTGTGCATGACTCAAGACGCAGAGTCATAACACAACACTACTATCACCACGCAACCGCTCCTCGCAGTGACCAACAACTGCACTAAAATAATGTTATAGAAATCCGTTATGTATACATGTCGAACTTCTTTCACACTGCACGTAGCCAACCGTGCTAATCGGGACTAAAAAGCCAAAGCATATTGACGGACTGGCACACTACTGATATTTACAGCGCACACAGTAGCAATGTCAGGTGGTTTGTTCAGAGGCATCTTTAGAAATTAATCCAGAAAAGCCGCCCGGATTCTCCTGAAAAAAAATCACGTCTCAAAGGCCAGTTGAGAATTTTTTAGTGGTTTAATAAAAAAAATACTGTTCTTTTTACAGAGAAAGAGGTTTCATTTATGTATCTGTTACCTTTGTTTACCCAGGACCGCCTCACCGAGTCTCACAACTCTTTTTCGCAGGAGGATCCTGCAAAGTTTTTGCAGTGGAGGGGGAGGCAAAGATTGCTATGTAGATTCCGATGGAGTAATTTTCTGTGTATTTCTGTTTAAAATTCGGAGATAAACATCCATCGGATAAGAGGGGCATCGAACAGCAGAGGCATTGCCTCAACGCGATCTGGCGTAGACACGGGGCTCTCTCTCACCTGATGGAAGAAGCTTTTGTCCACTTCGTTGACAATGCACTTGGCTTTGGAAACTTTGGGCTTGGAGCCCTGGGAACCAGAAGCTGTTGTTGGTTGATCCGGACTCAAAATGGCCATGTGCTGGTGCTGGAAGGCTTTGACGTCGAAGCCAGGCGGAGGGTAACAAAACAACAGCTTACCCTGCCACCGACACAAAAACATGCAATTACATTAACATCTGACGCGTTTAATCGTTCATCGTTATTACACTCAAAAGCAGTGTTGGAACAGTCAATGCCAACAGCATTGGGAACTGCTTAGTCTGCGTGTGATGTTTTTGTTTGTTTAATTGATTTGATCATTGCTACGCCTACAGCAAAGAGGTTCAACGCAGTGTGAATGACTGCAGAGTGGACATGAAGATGGCCCAGGACAAGAACGAGTGACCAGAGGACCAAAAAGTTGTATGCCCCATGAGTGGGAATCATTTCAGCACTGCAACTGCTTGCTGAAGCCACTGTTGGGGGGAGGGCATCCAATTAAGTGGATATTTTGGCCTACTCTTTACATGCTGGCCATGCATCTTTGAAGAGGTGAGAGTACCTACTCTGTACCCCACCACATGTGAAATATGGTCAAATAGCTGTGGGAGTCATCTAGGGTGGCAACGTAAGAATGGAAAACGATTCCTGCAGGAACCCTCCAAGCTCCGATTACCGGTTATGTGTATGCTAAACTAAAACTATCGCATGTTTTATTTTACCAGGTAAGGCCCAGAGCTATATCGCTATTTTTCAGAAGCGTGCTGGCCACAAATGATTAGTCAACGAAGTGGCTTATCATGTGGACATTTATAGGAGCCCAATACGAAAATCGCATGTTTATAAATGTGGAGGGAAACTCCAGAGGACTCGGAGAAAAATCCACGCAACCACGAGGAGATCATGCAAACTCCCATATATACGGGCATTGTGAGGGTCGGGATCGAACCCACGACCCCCTGTATACCAGGCGAGGAAGTTAACATCTCACTACCGCGGCACATTATGTGCACATAAATCTTATCCCACGCATTAAAGGTTGTCCCTTGCAGAATTAAAGTGCCTAGCACCGTTTTTAATATGAAATTCAGAGCATTCCTAACAAATAGCAGCAAATCACGTGCCAAATTAGGACATTGACAGCCGCTGGCTATGCCACACATCGGAATGTAAATATTTGGAATGGGTGTTCAATTAAGAAAACATGTGCAAGCCGTTAAGGACAGCGCACCTGTTATCAATGTTTACATCACGGTGAGAGCACAGATCTATGTGTACACTTACATGCATTCTAAGTGAATAATGGCATTTTGCCAAATGCTCAAGTCGGTTAATTCAAGACTCGCTGGAACTATCATGTGATATTGAGCGGGAGGGTGTCAAGTGAATAAAATAATGAACCCCCTGGAACACAGCCGGGCACACAACCCAACTCAAAAACATCATTCACAGTGGCGGGGTGCTTGGTTGAGCTGGTCATGTCCCGAGACTATACAAGGCTGCTGCAAAATCCCAAGGGCACAGTAAGTCAGAAAGAATAAAAAACACTGGGCACACCATTATGTGCAAGTGGGGAATTGTACCTCGAGTCTGTTGTGTGGAAATTAGGTCCGTATTTTAGAATAAACTCAATGGAACGAATAAAAGTTTTCATTTAAAAAGTGGTTTAGAGCTCTTGAGGCAGTGGTATAAATTCTACATTTTCTAGGCAGTGGCTCATATTATCCATCCATTCCAGAGGTACAACGGGCTAAATCAACCTCTGACCAGATTTCAAAGTCGGATGCTCTAACGCCGAGTCACCCAGCCAGATAACCTTCCTCCAATTTTGAGGAACACGTGGGGCTGTTCAAATACCCATCAACACTATTTTTCGGTGTTTACAGACGGAGATTATGATGAAGCAAGATCAGGATGATGCAACCGGATAATTTTCGAGGCACATATCAGCGCACAGATTCATCGATCAAAATAGAACCTCACGCTCACGATAAATGCAACAGAACATGCATGTGCGAGAATCAATAATTTAGAACTCATGATAATTCCATGCAGAAAACATAATTTAATTTACAGCTTATTTGTCAATTCACTGCTGGATGAAGGCCTCCACCATTCTATTTTAGTCATGGAGGGTTGTTTGAACATACTTCACCTCACTGGTTAAAGTGGGTAAGTGAAAGCTGTGGGTCAAGACTGGATCACATATCACTCGCCACTCACTAACCACTACCACGTTTTATGCCAGGCCAGTGAACATAAGTGGCGGACATTATCTGAACAAGGCACCTCCAATTAGCACAGTTGCCTATGTACGGTGCAAAAGAAGTTGAACATACGTACATACATAGGTCCTTTCTTTAAGCCAAGTATGTGTAGAACATTTTTATTTGGCTGGGTGGCACGGTGGCGACAGTAACAACAATGATTTGGATGTATTTAGCGTCTATGAATATGTGCGTCGCAATGCTCGGCCGTAGAGCTTGACGGAGAATTGCCTGCATTTTAGTCGATGACCTTCACCGAAACGAAAGATCAAAAAGAAACCGCACTGGCGCTGGTGTTTGTTACACAATGTTCAAAAAGAGGGGTGGGGGCGGGAGGGAAGGGGGGGGGGCTCCTTTAGTTTAAATCCAGCACAACCCTCTTTGCTCATTGTTTGTTTTTTTTCCTTTTATAATCCGCAATTACACGAACGGCTCACATTAACGTAATCTTTCAAGATGTAGCGGGCAGATCTGGGCTGGTCAGGCTGTCCGTGTGCTGTCATGTAACCTCTCATGTCTGCGGGAGAGAGATAAAGGAGGAAAAAACAGTTTATCACAAATAAATAAATATATGAACCGAGTGGAAGAACTGCAAGAGCGGCATAAAAATTACAAAAATCGCACCAGCACCGTTTTCTGTACTCGGTCAAGCGCGCTCTAACACGTTTCCAAGCCAGGCATGCGTTGCAGAGGCAGATTATTAACAACCCGCAAGAGCGCTCATGCAAATATGCACACGGTGCAGTTATTTGCAGGGGGGAAAAAAAAGACACATGGACAGCTCAGTTGGCCTGCAAGTGAATGCATTAGAAGGAGCGTCGGTCTATTTATATGTTAATGTTGAAGCACGTGACGCCACACGCGTGCAGAATTATGTCACTCGGTAGAATGAAAAGAAAAAAATCTGCGCCAGATGTTTGGCAACGTACGGTTAATTTTTCATCGGTGAAGTTCACGTGCGCCGTGTTTGCTTTCTTAAGTCGGTCATGGTCAGTGGTCGCACAGCGCCGCCAATATTATTGACTGCTACGCGTTAACTCTAAAGCAATAACAGCAGGCACCACTTTGCTTTGCTATTCATCAGCGATTTGAAGCTTGCGGATTACATTCCGCAATGTAGCGGGGGCATGTGTTGTCATTAATCCGATGGGCATTTACGCTTTTGTTGAACAATAATTTTTGTTCGATTAGGTATAAAGCGATTCACAGATCAAAAAGGATGTTTTAAGCTTAAGATATAAGCACCGAATCGGTGTGCATGAATCTGTTTTTTCACATGTGTGTACATTATACACAAACTATCATCATCACCATCACAATCCATGGGCAGCTAACCCGTAGAGGTGTCCACTGCACATCTCGTCATTTGTTTCCACTTTCCTCTGCCTTGTGCCAATGTGCTCAAGTGGTCTGGCACCAATCTCTTGTGATGACTTTGTCAAGCCACTCTCTGTTAGGTCTTCATCTCTTTCTGGTTCATTCCATTTTTACCCGAAACAACACACTTTTGAAATTTTCGTGTTGTTAATGCTAATGAAATATTTATGCTAATGACATAGACTAAACTGTATAATATAAATATGTATAAAAAATAAAATAAAACCACTGTGAACATCGGAAATAAAAAAAGGAATCGATTCACAAAATAAATCACGACTGCGAATTGTGATGATTCATCAAAATCTCCGTGGGGGTTTACATGCCCAACTTCTAGTCAGTGGCAAAACAATAGGTCCTGACTTATCAGCGTTTATAGAACATTTATATTAAGCCACGGATTTTACAAGCGGACACGCATTTCACATGTTGATATAAACAACTTCAGCCTTAATGTATCTGACAATGCGCTTTTAAACGAAAAAAAAATCAACAGACCTATTTAACAACCACTCAGGATGTGCTCTAAGATTAACCGCGTCTGATCAGCAGTTTGCATGCACAAACAACTAAAACATTGCATAACACTTTCAAACAAAGCCTTACAGTAAATTCGCTATTCATGAGCTGCGCATTATTTTTTATAAACGAATATATCCCTCGTTCACTGGCGTGGTCTCATCTGGTTTTCGTTACGATTGATCATTGTACGTTGGCTCGACACGCTACCGTAAATTCACCACCGCCACTGTGCGCACGCATGAATGCACAGGCGGCAGGGGACACCTTGCCATGCGCGCATTCTGACGACGGCGCGGGGAGGACGCTGTGTCGTCGTGCGAAGTCGCAGGCCAAAGCCCGGCGGTCGGCAGGGACACCCGGCCGCGGCCGTCATAGCCAAGCCATGATTTAAGAAGTGCAGGGCTTGTGTCAATCCACTGCTGGATGAAGGGCCTCCCCACTCCAACCGTGCCGGTCAGTGCGGTTTGGTCAATGCAGGAAGCACGGATGGCAGAGAATCGCAATGGCTTGCTCGCACCACTGCGGAGAACTCGAGAGGCCCTCCGGAGGGTTACATTGGCCTACTCTTCTACACTGGCCAGAAGTCTCGGAAGAAGTTAGCGTACCCACAACAATGCAATACAATTGCTAGATACGCTCATAACGTGAGGTGAAACCGACATCGCGATCGTTGTCGTATCGTGAACGTTAAAGAGGTAGCGTTTCACGAAAAATGGAATATCGCGGCAAGGCGACAACGGAGGCAGCGCGAGACTCACATCCGTAGGCGGAAAGCAGCTCCTCCGAAGTCGGGGGGCGGTCCGGGTCCTCGTCCTCCCGTGGCCGCACAATGTTGATGCCGTAGGTGGCTTCCAACACGGCCCGGGGTATATGCTGACAAACGTGGCGCGGCCAATTAAGAAATAAAAAGGTCAAGGTCGAGAGGTCGTGTGGTATCGAGGCCGTTTATGCCACCCACGCTTGCCCGTTGTTTTACTCCATCTGCTAGACCTTGCAACTGTAGCAAATTTGACACGTGACCTACAAGGGTCGTCTGTTAAACTCATCATCACCACCATCATCTGGCCGTAGGGTCTTCACCTAAGTTGACAAGTGCTGAGTGCCACTCCAGTTCCTGTCTCGGTAACCTGCCCTCCTCCATCCCACACAAGTGACCCACAAATCGCTTTGTTAAAGTGCAGTTGATAGCTGCGGTAACGTGCTAGCAACAGAAATCGTTTCGTTTCTCGCTTTCCTCGGTCTGAAGGCTGGCCATGAGTCAAAATGTTTCCCGAGGCACAGGGCTCTGTCTTCGGCAGATCTTGCGAGGTGTACCACACTGAGCCCTGACCAAGCAACTTGCCTCATCAATCAAAGTTTTTTTCTGGCCTCAGCCTGGCTGACCCAGGCTGAGGCCAAGGTTGGTCCTCATTTCCCGCACCTCCGATTAGCACGGTTGGCTATGTACTTGTGCAAAAGTATTTTCAACATACATATATCTCCACTGATTACCCAGAGCAAGTGGAGGACACATTCCTATGGTGGAGACTCATCTATACACAGGACAACCACAAGTAACTTTATATCTATGGTGCGGAGTGGCTAGAAGAAAACAGTACAGCAATGGATTGAATCTATCTGTGCAGATCGTTACATGATATTCACTTGTTTGTTTGTTGGCATTTTCTCCAGGTACTCTGGTTTCCTGCCACATGCCAAATGTAACCAAAAGTGGAATTTTGCCAAACATCGCAATGCAGGACCCTCAAAAAGATCCCCGAGACTCGCTGAGACTTTTCTGGGTAAATGTACGCCAATTTGTGAGAAACAAGTGACTGGGTAATATATAGCAGGGAACAACCCTCAAACTCTGCACAGAACGGTGTGTAAGCAACCTTCCGTACTACTGATACTGGATTTCTCAAAACCCTGCACCTATATCATGCTTCACCACTCACGTGTGTGTACACGTAAAGAGAATGGGTCATCGGGTACAAGATCATTACATATCTACAACGCCTTCCAGTACGATGACCTTTCAAATCAGTAACAAAAAACAGCCATCATCTATAGTGACGATAAAATACAGCCATTTAGAGATTAAAAGAAGATTAATATTAAGACAGCTTATTGCTGCTAAGTGTAGCTAAAAGCCTTCTAAATGGTGTATATTAAGATTAGCTGAATTATTTTGTTCCGCATCATAATAAAAACAAAATCGGAATATAAACAACATGCAAATTGATCTTGATATCCCACGAAAAGACATTCCAATTGAAGCCTAAAGTACGATTAGGATAATGGAGACAACCTGGCCATTGCAGTATGCCACTGTGTCTTTGTATCATGTTCATCCGTGAATGAGTGTTCATATGTATGCCCATGTGAATCGTATACATTTTCTATACCTGAAAAAAAACAGCAGCAAGGTTCTAAGTCACGGGGAGAATGCGTTTTTCCCACATACACTATAATAACTAATCTCCAGCCTTGACAGTCGTACGTAATGGTGTGCCGTAAAAAGTCAATGATATGGCAAGAAACATCACTCAAACCTTACTACGTGGTGGTTAAGAAAACTCCCAAACTCGATTCTCAGCTGACATTTTCGATCGGCAGTGCAACGGGCTCTGGGCCGGCTGGGGCATTTTATTTATTTCATTTATTTATTCATTCCCATTTTCATTTTGCATGCAATTACATTTCGATTTAAATATAGCATTCGGCGCATGGCCGTGGTGAACATTTACACGCTCATGCCTACATATCGCGCCTTCCACAGGCCCTTCAAATGACCTCCGTGTCTCTGCCTATCGTCCCATAAAACATACACAGGCACTCCACAGCGCTCGATTCCCCCCACGTTGTGGCTGACCGATCCACGTCATGTTTTTGTACTGTTTGTTGTTGCAGCGTTCTTACCGCCCCGACTGGACATCTGTGAAAAAAGAGCTTTATAGCTCATTGGATTCCTCCAATATAAATAAATATTCTTAATCTGATGTCGGTCTGCCTCTCCTATCTCAGATAATCCCCACAAGCTGCAATGAGACCCTCACCAACCAGCGGACCTACGTAAAAGCTGCACATACGTTTCTGTGACAGAATGCCACGTGAAGCCACCTTCTGCCACCACTGTGTTCAAAATTACATCCCTATTGCTTGTGACAAAAGAGCGCGTATTTGCTCGAATAATTAAAAATAATTATAATACTTTGCTTGCTTACAATAGTGTTCCCTTCACACGAAGGCATCTCACAAGCGCTTTTAAAAATGAGACATTTATCACAATATGCTTAAATTAGGGAAATTACAATAATAATATTTGTAACACAACAGGACCGCTGTGGGTCTCCTCTTTTTGTGTGAGGCCCTGGGGGCAAACCGACCGTTTTGTATGCCATTTCGGCAGGGTGGAAGCTGTACGCATTTGCCACACGATCGCCCGTGTATTGAGAAGGATATGAGGGAGACGGGAGGCACGTGGTCCCTCATCTGGTCGATGGGAAGAATGCCGCTGCAGGCCATCTCCGCCTTGGTGGACACGAACGAAGGCATGACGAGCCCCGGGCAGTCGCACAGGCACAGGTCGGAGTCGACAAACAGCGTCTAGAGAGGAGACACGCGGACACACGCGCGCACGTCGCCACGTCGCAGCACACACGCGTCAAGCACTCTGTATCGGGAAAGAGGATGTGTGTGTTCGTAGAGCCCTTTGTCATGTATAAGCTATGGGCATGCATATTTCAATATTCCATAATTTAGCTGCATTGGTGCCATGAAAAGGGTTAGAAAATGGTTTGTGTGTCTTAAAAGGAATAGAGCCTTTCTATGATGAACTTCTTTCGCACACCGCACGTAGCCAACCGTGCTAGCCAAAGGTGCGGGGGAAGGACAACAAACTAAACACAAAAAGCAATTCTAAAGAAATACGTTTTCAGTTTAGATTGAAAGTGCATAGCTCCAGTGGCTTCCTAATATCGGGAGAGCGTTCCAGACGGCCACAGTAGCGCATCTGAAAGTGTGCGATGTAGTGACCGTCTTTGTTCAATGGTTAGCCAATAGCCACTGCGAGGATGAAATCCGCTTCTGGATTACCCCCCCCCCCCACCCCATGCCGCATTGGTCGTGGGGGGTCGTTTGAACATACTTCACCACCCTGGTCAGGGCAGGTTCATTAACTGTACTACTACTACTCACCACATGATTTCAGCAAATGGCCGGAAATCAAACTCAGTTCAGGGAACAGGAAAATGGCTATCTATGAATCTGGGCTCCAACCTGACCCGAGACAAAATCACTCTAAATCATATCTCAGAAGCCACGCTAAATTCAACCTGGTTAATACTTGGTTTCGAATACCAGGCGTTGTAGACTTTGGCTAAAATGTGGTACAAAAAAATGTTTTATCCATCTGTGCAAAGTGCAACACTCTCATAATAAGTCTTTACGCTTTGGTGTTTCACACCTGATGACGGTTGCTTGTGTTGCGATCGAAACGTCGTGATCTATTATTTTTTCTACCTACATGACTTTACCGAAAGAACCAAAGAGTATTGATTCCTGCAGTCACGAAAGCTTCAAATCAATAATAGTCTTCCTCCACGTATTCTGGTTTACTCCTACAAGCCAAATACTATTTCATGGAATTGTCCAAACATCCCAATGCAGGACCCACTCAAAAGTGTTGAGACTCAGCAGGGCTTTCCTGGATGCAAAAACGACATTATTAATACTTGTTTTGTCTGTCGATGTAGGCTTATATTTGTACAAAAAAAGTACCGAATATTAACAAGCGCGAGTACTGCGTAGCCTGGGTCACCTTCTCCCACTCTACTCTGAACTAAAAGCATTCGGAAAGCCTCATATAACCTGTTCTCTCCCAGAAATCTCTGTCATGGGGAAATCGTATTTAAAACACTTCGCTCACCAGTTCTAATAAAAACTCACTCAAAACAAAATAACGTGCAATAATCCACAAGTTAACACGAGCACATGCCTTCCTCCATTTACCACAGCCTCCCATAATCCCTGACCCCAATCCTCAAAACTTAACCTGACCCATGACCCATATCTTAATCCATACCACCAATATGCAAACTTAACCCCGACACTTAAAATCACAACCCTTTAAAGGTGGGTTCGCACTCTGTTCTAGACTCCGGATAAGAAATTGCCACATGCTCTCAATTACGTGAAACAACTGCACGCCACCACAAGTGGTGTGTTACATGGTGAGTGTAGATTGCTTAACGTCACATAAATGGTACCAGAAACGTTTCAGAGCCCCTTGGTTTTGCTGGCTACCGGGTTCATTTAACCCCTTGTTCCAGTTTTTCTTCCCATTCATCCTGAATCGACGATGTACTGGTGCATCATGTACAGCTGCATCATCGGAACGGAATCGGGGAAAAAAACTGATGACGTACACGAACGTCATCGGAAAAGGAAAGGGTTAACATGCACTCGCATATTCCAGCCAGCAGCATGAAGCCGGTTTTAGCAGGTCGTGTGCGGTGGGGTAACTTGTGGTTACTCCCACCCTCTTCCAAGACATCTGGCCAGCATGGCGGAGTGGGCCAAACTATCATCAAATAGGGCACTCCAGGGCACCCTCCATTGGAGGTCATTCTGCCAACAGTAGTATGAGGAAGAAATTGCAGGGCTGCACATTTACTATTTTAAATACCCAGAACTTCACTTGAAGTGAGGCCGAGGTTGCCATTACACTAGTTACGTGTGTTAAGTGACCCAGTGTCTAACCCATACCGTAAAACATTACAGGATTTGTCAAACTAAAGGTTCTTAGATACAAAGCATTCGAGTGTTCGAGTCTCTATGCAAGTCTAAAGGTCTCTACGTGGGTCTCTATGCAAGTTTATATATGCAACATATGCAAAAAATGTCAGTACAGCAAGGTTGACATTATGCACATTTGTAGTGTAATGGCTTTGAAAAATATTATTCAAATATCATTGCCTATGGCTGATAAAACTGTCAGTTGGACGTCACAAGATTCCGTTTCATATTTTTGCGGAGAGCACTTTATTTCACCAATATCTTCTGTTTATGGTAAAACATTGCCCAGTGCGATAGCATGTGCCATAACCTACATACCACCACAAGTCTGTATTCACGGCATGTTTGAGTCTATGCAAGACATAACTTCACTCCGTGTCGAGGATAGAGAGCTAAGGGAGGTTTAGAAAAACATTACAGTTGATCCTTCCAATATTTTTTTTTTCTTTTCTGTATAAATAAAGATTTAAAAAAATACTTTCTCAACTCATCTCTATATCTAAATCAGCTCAAGTCGCCCTTAAATGTACGTATGTATGTTGAACTTATTTCGAACTGTACGTAGCCAACCGTGCTAATCAGAGGTGCGGGGAAAGGACAACAAACTAAACACAAAAAGCAGTTCTAAAGAAATGAGTTTTCAATCTAGATTTAAAAGTGCATCGCTCCGGTGGATTCCTCCCACTTCAACAAAACATTTTCTTGCTGTGGTTTTCCCACCTGATGATGATTGCTTGTGTTGCAATCGAAACGTCGTGATTTAATTTATTTTATACCTACGTGACTTTACCGAAAGAACCAAAGAGAAGGAATAGTGTTACAGACGGCGGCAGCAATGCAAATAAAAGCGCGCGAAGCAGTGACCGTCTTTGCTCAATGACGAACCAAAAGCCGCTGCTACGAGGATGACCGGAGTTCACGTGATGGTTTATGCTCCTTGATGAGATCAGCAAATCACGTGACGTCTCTGTGGCCACCCCCACCCTGGGTCCTTCCCCTTTCCCCGCCCCCTGTGAAAACAGACGCTGCTCTTCCGTGCGGCTCACTTCTGCTCGCTCATTCCTTCTCTTCTTGGATCTTTCGGTAAATTCACGTAGAATGGAAACAATAAAAATAATAAAATAAAACATAATAAAATAATTCTCACGACGTTTCGGCTACAACGCAAGCAGCCGTCTTCAGTCACGAAAGCTTTAAATCGAAAAAAAAAAATCATTCCTTCTCTCTCTCTCTCTTCCCTGCCCCTCTTATCACTGGCCTCTCATCCCCAACATTAACACGTTATCCTTGACTCTACTCCCCCCCCTTCCCATGGTGTGTCATGGGTAAAAAGATGCGTTGCTCATATACATCACTGTGCATACAAAGCACGGCAGCTGGGACGGTTCCCTCAATGAGGTGAATTAAATGGCTCACAATTTCAACTGGGTTTTTTAATGGCCAATTACTCTGGCCCCTTTAATAATGGCGGCAGCTCCCGCAGCATTCTTCTTTCTAGAAACAGTGTGGAACAGCAAAAACAGCAAACAGCACGTAGCTCTACGCTTTTGTTCTTTCGGTAAAGTCACGTAGGTATTAAAATAAAATAGATCATGACGTTTCGGGCGCAACACAAGCATCGTCATCTATTTTATTTTATTTTACACCTACGTGACTTTACCGAAAGAACCAAAGAGTATGGATTCCTGCAGTCACGAAAGCTTCAAATCAAGATAGCATGTAGCTCATGCACAACCAAAGGCGAGAAATCATGAAATCAACGGCATGCAACTAGAGGCAATATTATAATTAGGACTTAATCCACCAGTAGGCAGAGATGGGTTGACAAAAGAAAACAAACTGAAATTCAGCTAATAGTGAATGCTTAAAATCAAGAGAAAGGCAAACTGTGCTTTCCTCTAAATCAGGCCCGAATCAATGTTCTCATTGTTCATTGAGCGCCCGCCTTCTGTAAAGGATTGCCACAATGGATTAAAATCTATCCCCGGGTATAAATCTTTAAGGAGAAAACTATCTTAGTATATTGAGCCAGCTTGCATGTCGCTTGTAATGCACTGGGGCTCCCCAGGAATCCACAGAGCGGTTTGTGTGCAAAGATTCATGAGCAAACACCTTCAGCGTTGATTCAAACCATGAAGTTAACATCTTGGGGGAGAAGGTGTTCTCGTGTTGGAGCTTTTTCCAGCCTGAGCCGATTTACAAATAACAGCAAAATAAAAGTCTTTCGTTGTATTAAATCAGTGGCTGTGCTTAACTCAGCCACACCCACCTAAGGGGGTTGAAGAGATTTGAGGTTTTAGTGAAATGTATACTACTAATCTTGAGACCTGAACAGTCCCATCTCATTTATATATATAAAATCGCGAATCTGTCTGTCTGTCTGTGTGTGTGTCTGTGTATCGGACCATACGCAGTTTCATTGGACGAAATGTCAGGGATTTGCGAGACACGATTGGTCCGGCGGTTGCCCCTGGCAACGGGTAGCGACGCATTCGCCGCGGGGTGGACGCCATTTTTAATTCCCCTTAAAAATAGGCGCACGCATTAACACGCGACTCTGAGGTAAATTCATCAAAGTTTCACGTCCTCTTCACTCCCCCCCCCCCCCACCACAATGTGTGCAATTACTATTATAGGGTCGGTAGATTATAAAATTATAGCGATTAGACAGTATTATTGTAGCGCGGGGGGGGGGGGGGGGGAACGGCACCCGTACCCAGCCTCAGCCGGGTGGGCAATTTAGGCGAGGCCGGAGGCTCTGCACGGTACTAGGCCTCGACACCCACCACGTGACTGAGGTAAATTCATCAAAGTTTCACGTCCTCTTCACTCCCCCGCCACCCCAATGTGTGCAATTACTATTATAGGGTCGGTAGATAATAAAATTATAGCGATTACACAGTATTATTGTAGCGCGGGGGGGGGGTAACGGCCCCGGTACCCAGCCTCAGCCGGGTGGGCAATTTAGGCGAGGCCGGAGGCTCTGCACGGTACTAGGCCTCGACACCCACCACGCGACTCTGAGGTAAATTCATCAAAGTTTCACGTCCTCTTCACTCCCCCCCCCCCACCCCAATGTGTGCAATTACTATTATAGGGTCGGTAGATAATAAAATTATAGCGATTACACAGTATTATTGTAGCGCGGGGGGGGGGGGGGGTAACGGCCCCGGTACCCAGCCTCAGCCGGGTGGGCAATTTAGGCGAGGCCGGAGGCTCTGCACGGTACTAGGCCTCGACACCCACCACGCGACTCTGAGGTAAATTCATCAAAGTTTCACGTCCTCTTCACTCCCCCGCCACCCCAATGTGTGCAATTACTATTATAGGGTCGGTAGATAATAAAATTATAGCGATTACACAGTATTATTGTAGCGCGGGGGGGGGGGGGGGTAACGGCCCCGGTACCCAGCCTCAGCCGGGTGGGCAATTTAGGCGAGGCCGGAGGCTCTGCACGGTACTAGGCCTCGACACCCACCACGCGACTCTGAGGTAAATTCATCAAAGTTTCACGTCCTCTTCACTCCCCCCCCACCCCAATGTGTGCAATTACTATTATAGGGTCGGTAGATAATAAAATTATAGCGATTACACAGTATTATTGTAGCGCGGGGGGGGGGGGGGGGGGGTAACGGCCCCGGTACCGAGCCTCAGCCGGGTGGGCAATTTAGGCGAGGCCGGAGGCTCTGCACGGTACTAGGCCTCGACACCCACCACGCGACTCTGAGGTAAATTCATCAAAGTTTCACGTCCTCTTCACTCCCCCGCCACCCCAATGTGTGCAATTACTATTATAGGGGCGGTAGATAATTAAATTATAGCGATTACACAGTATTATTGTAGCGCGGGGGGGGGTAACGGCCCCGTTACCCAGCCTCAGCCGGGTGGGCAATTTAGGCGAGGCCGGAGACTCTGCACGGTACTAGGCCTCGACACCCCACCACACTATAGGCAGTACATATTACTGCACAGCGGCCGAGGAGATCGTGGCTGGGGGGGGGGGGGGGGTAGCAGCCCATCTGTGTATATATGTAAGGTTATTAAGAAATATATTTTTCACCCGGGCAACGCCGGGTACTTATGCTAGTTAGAATATAAACAAGACCTACTGAATAAGGTCGTTGGAGAGGGAATGCCTACATCTTTTTTTGTCTGTACAGTAAAACCTTGGATTGCGAGTAACTTGGTCTGCGAGTGTTTTGCAAGACGAGAAAAAAGTTTAAATAAATATGAATTTGATAAACGAGCGAGGTCTTGCAATACGAGTAGTACGTGTATACGCTTTGTGTGCCGAGCGTCACGTGATCACTACTGATATACGAGTGCTTTGGATTACAAACACGTTTCCCGAACGAATTATGCTCTCAATCCAAGGTTTTACTGTATCTCAATATTAATATCACATTTTCCTATCGGCGTTGGGTCTGAAGGAGAACTATCCATTCAGAAACTTGCACAAAAGCAGTGTCACCCTAGGGTTAGAGAGAAACCCGCTGAAGGAGCTGTCACAGGATTACCTTGGGGATTCCTTCAAGTGACGACTAGTTAGCCACACGAGGGGTGCTGCACTTCCCATGCACAATTGTTTGGCACATGGCAGACGAATTAAAATATTACATAATGAAAATATTACATAATGAAAATATTACACAATGGGAGTGCTCTTCCAAATAACATATGGCAGTTTAGCAGCATACTCTTTGGTTCTTTTGGTAAAGTCACGTAGGTATAAAATAAAATAAATTAAATTAAATCACGACGTTTCGGGCACAACACAAGTGCCCGTCATCAGCGGCATTTGTTCAACAACCCTGACTAATGTTGAGCGTTTACTTGTTTGAACAAATGCTGCTGGACAATATTGGTCTGGAAAACCAATGTATATTGAAAGGTAAAATAAAGTTAATATATATGTGGAGGTAAACAGAGGGATGTACATTTAATTGTTATTATCGTATGTTATACTTGCAAAGAAAGTACTTGCGTTTTTCACCCTCTAAGACAGGGGTGGTGAACGTCCGGCCCACGGGCCGTATAAGGCCCGCAAAATCATTTGGCAGTTCCAGCCATCACATTGGGGGTGAGTAAACTAAATGTTCGACCAAATATAACAGGCTAATATTTAAGTTGATACTTTTGTATGGCCCGCGAATTATGTTATTAATGTCCAAATGGCCCTTGGCAGAAAAAAGGTTCCCCACCCCTGCTAAGAGAACAAGTTTAACAACAAAAAAGTAATGTAAACTGGCCTTCAGTAGACATTAGTATAAAGCATGAGTTGCTACACAAATCCATATGCAAGAACAGCAAAAAGAATGTTGGTTATGAATACGAGGTCTAGGTCAATTGAATAACAGTAATCTTAAAAATACCGATGACCTTGAGGTGAAGTTATTGTATATTGTTGTAAAGGGCGTTGTTTAGAAAGCAGTTTGCGTCAGAGTGGGAAGGAAGACGCTAATTGCACAGCGTCACTGTGGGGCAGCGGTGGGGGCGACAGTCCAGGACACACGAGTGGACCTAACAATTTCTCATAGGAGGCGAGGTTTATACAAAACTCAAAGCTTCTTCAGCACGTACATTGCTTTTTTCTTGTTTCTAAACAAAGTCTCGTCGAGTTGCGAGACGGTCCGTGGATTTTGATTTGGTGTGTTTGACCAACCCACTGTACATTTAGCGTGTCAAATTCGTATTAAAAGATTCGTATGATATGTAAACAGGTTAATAAATAAATAATGTTTATTTTTATGGCACATGGGTATGCAGCATTCGTGAGGCTTTCATTGGTAAAACAGCTCTGTTCTTTATCGTCTTGACTCCTACCACCAAAGACAAAGATCAACCGTATAGCCATAACAGACTGTCAGAGCGAGTGCCACCGTTAGCGAACACCTATGAAGGCCGGCACGGCACAGAGGAGGTTGGTGGCCAGCACCACACAGCGCACCAGGTATTCATTTGAGGCTGAGTCAATCTAGGGGGAGGCCTAGTACCAGCCAAGATAATCATCACCGGTGTTGGCCGTGAGCAGGAATCGAACCATGCTCACCGGGTTCGCAGAAAAACGCGCCAACCGCTCCCCATACTCCCACCACTACCACTACCCAAAACTGCAATGAACCAACACACGCACACAAAGGCCAGGGTTGACAAAATACCTGGAAGTGTTTGGTCCGCCCCGGTGTTGCCGACACTGGGACCTTCTTGTTTTGCAGGATCGTGTTTATGGTGGAACTCTTGCCAACGTTGGGGTAGCCAACCTACAGTTACAGAGCACACGCACGTGCACACACACACACAAACAAAAGGGGTCACAAATGCAAGTACGTAATTACCAATTTCACTGGGGTAATGGAGTCATAATTTCCCACAAGCACACTTATGCAACCAGCAAGCTGATGGAAATCTCCATAATTGTCCTGGTTAGGTTTTTTTAATGTTTTTCTAAGCATGAAGATATGAGGATTGCCATATCAGCCTATAGGCACGAACAATCACCAGCCATCCATCCGATGTTTTAGTCACGGCACGAGTTAAAGTATCAATTTAATCACGATGTATAGAATGCGCAAGCAGCCGTCTAAGTGTTTGAAGATGTAATGCTAAAAGAAGTAACGTTCCTTACCATAAACACAATAAATCACTGCATAACATCTAAGTCTAAAGGACTTCAGCATTAGATCCTTAGGTGGGTTATCTGGAGGCCCTATCTCATTGCATTCAGTTTACAGACATGCTGTAACATCTCCTTCTCAAAACATTTGAACACCAAGCACCTGACACATAAATAAATAGGCGTTGTATTTACGAAAGCCTCACAATCTCACTTGCTAAAGTAGAAATTAAACATGCGGTAACGTTAAATTACACAAGTGTATGTTCGTAGGTGTGCAGTTTGGTGCAACGTGACAATCAATCCTGGTTGCCCCAAATCATCAATAGCAATTCCAATTAGAGCTTGGGCTTATTTGGTATAGCCCTGTGAGCCATTCGGCTTTTGAATCGGGTGCAACCGCAACAAACAAAAACATGAACAAGAAAACATCTTAAAGTGACTATGCACAAACAGAAAAATCCAGGAAAAAACTGCAAATTCTTCCAGAAAAAAAGCACCGTACACCAACGCTGTGCAAAAATCCCAGTGGGATGCAAGTCAAACAACAACAACAACAACCACAAGGCAACTTAGATTAAAGCCATCATTCTAACTCCGTACTAAAAAAAACATGGCCAAACCAAAAAACGTTATCGAAATCACCAAAATAAAGCCATAAGCAAAATAACAGTCATCATAGGAACTGTGACCGAAATGTAACAATAAACGACAAACAACATGTACCACCAAACCCTGTAGCCATAGCTGTCTGCATGAGTCACTCCACAACAGCAGGAGCATCAGTAGCAGTATCAACATTTTTCAAATGCACCTTTAAAGATCAGCACACTAAATCAAAACACAAGATCATACGTTGCAGCGGTCATCCGGAACGAAAACATTTGATTTTAGGCCACTGAATAGCAGTGGCAGCTAGGGGTGGAAAACTCATCGAGAGCAGTTTTGAGTGAAGATCTCATAGGTAGTGATTCAAGTTGCAGTTTATTGGCAATATCATTCCAGACCCTGGGGGCCTCAATAGCCAAGGCCCTTCCTCCAGTATTTGTACGCGTCTCCGCACGACGCGTTTTCGCGGTAACGCAGTTCTTCGATTTGAGAACACTTTTCACACAACGCAGAACGTTTCCATTACAATGCGGTTTCCGATCGGTCGACAACAAACTACTTTCTAGACGTGCGTGGCCAAGCGGTACGGGAATTCTGGGTACGCACGCGGAATGATAGGGTGCTTGGCGGCATACCCTCATCTCAGTACTTTGTCACGCAATCTCTCACTGTGTGTGCGTACATCATATCTTGCAACCGCCACCTTTCACATGATTTCTTACGGTGAAAGCGTTTTCGCTTAACGAGGCACTTTTCAGGAATGCATCTACCGCGTTGTTTGTATGTTGAATTCCTTCCGCACTGTGTACAGTAAAACCTTGGATTGCGAGTAACTTGGTCTGCGAGTGTTTTGCAAGACGATAAAAAAATGTAAATAGAAATTAATTTGATAAACGAGCGAGGTCTTGCAATACGAGTAGTACGTGTATACGCTTTGTCTGCCGAGCGTCACGTGATCACAACTGATATACGAGTGCTTTGGATTACAAACACGTTTCCGGAACGAATTAAGCTCGCAATCCAAGGTTTTACTTTATACCCAACCGTGCTCATCAGAGGTGCGCGGGAAGGAAAATCAAAGGTGCAATGCAAGGACAGGAAATTACTATATTCTACCCACTGACGGATTGAAGGTTTACATACGTTGTTGCCATCCCCCGCGATGTCATTCCATCCAAGCTCATGATGCATGCACCGAATCGCATATGTAAGAATCGATTTTTCATTTTTTAACAATTCGTATATGTTTTGTATTTGATGGGTTTACGTCAAGCCTGCAGCAACTATAGGCGCTGTCAGTCACCGCAATGTTAGAAAACAGGTATTGACTGAGCCAGAAACGGGGATTGTGGATTATTCTACCCCTCATGAATAGCAAAGCAAGCTGTAGAGAGAGAGAGAGTAGGAACATTTCATGATCGTTGGAGCGATAATGATAAATCATCAGGCACTCGGGTGGCTGTTTTTCACAGCGCTTTGCCTGTCCAGGAAAAGTTCATTAGATCCCTGTAATTTTATTTGAAAGAGGAAAAAAATTGTTTTCCTTAATGTGTGGACAGATAAAAGGGGAACAAACACTCCAGGATGTATTTATAGCCAGAATATAAGCAAATAGTATGAATAATTACAATGATAAAACAATAAACACACAATTACAATATCTTCAAAGAAGAAAACTTGAACTCACTGCTCCGCCAACTGAAAGTTCAACAGATACGAATATTTCATAATCAAGCCAAGGCCGTGAGCTTAATTACACTGTGTCCAAAGCAACGGAAATTGCAGATTTCTAATGGGAATTTAGCAGGACAGCAAGCGCGCTGCCCAGCAATTTTCTCAAAATTACTAACAATCATTTCAAATTATACGTTACACTCGAACAAAGTGCAGTCCCACAGATCACAAAATAAGAATGCGCTCTTTTCCGCTACAAAGACAAAAACACGCCGCTTTCTTAAAACTGCCCATCAGTTTCAAACCACCGCAGAGCCAGGGATGTGATTGCAAGAAGCAGCGCCTAAACTCAACAAAAGAACGTCCAACGTCGAATGTCGAATGTGTACCTCGGTTTCAGATCACGCGAGTCGGCTTCGAGGACGCCGATTGTTCAGAGCCGAATAAGAAATGATTGGAGGACCCTGATCAGCGCCGTGTGAAATTAAGTCCTTTGCTCTCGAGCTGCAAATATTGAGAGCAGAGAGGCGTAGGAAGAGTGAAGATCGCATCATGATTACTGGCAGCGTTCGTGAAAATGCTGACGGGAGGCAAACAACGCAATGCGGTCTAGATTTATATAGCATCTGATTGCGGCCTCGTCTCAAACAGAGGGGGGGAAGATGTGCGAATTAAGATCATTTTAAGGGGAGACAACGTTTTTAAGCATTTTTTTCAGAGGGACAGGTGCGAGGGCTAGTAAACTAGACGGTACAGAGGCAGAGGGGAGGGGAAGAAGATGGCAGGATGCCAGAAGGCAAATCTCCTTTCGTGCGATAGGTAGGTAGTAAATAAGCAGTGTTTCTATGGTCACGTCGAAGGGCGGCGAGTGAGCCAGTGGATATTCTTTGTTTGTTGTAACGTTCTGACTCGCCACGACTGGATATCTGTGAAAAAGAGCTTTAGCTCATCGGATTCCTCCAGTATATATACAAACAGTCTGATTCTGGATAGCTTCTTCACAAGTAGCCTCACGGTGAACATCTTAGACGCCACCGACGAATGACCGAAGCGAGCGGTGGCGTCCCTATTTGGTCCATGCTTTGAAATCTTTGACCGAAGTCGCACTGTGGGCTCCTCTTAATCGTCCATCGGCGCAGTAGATAGCCGCATCTGCCACGTGGCTTTGCCCTACCACATCACGGTACAAATGAGGATACTGCATGGTGAGAACAGGAGAAGAGGAAAGACTTGAGCCTGATTTTGAACAGGAGGGAGTCAGCACTCCAGATACGGAGGGGGGGACATCAACAGAGAAGGAGCGACACTCCCCCTTGACTCGAGGCTCATGTACAGTATTCATTGTCATTCACGAACTTGATATCCGCGCTTTTGGCTATCCGCAAATCGCATCCGGAAAGCTACACGACTGCATCGAGAGAGAGAGAGAGAAAGTGATGAAAGAAAGTGATGAGAGCGAATGTGTTGCGAGAAAGTGATGGGTTAAAGTAAGTTCACTTATAAACTTGATTTGAAGCTTTCGTGACTGCAGGAATCCATACTCTTTGGTTCTTTCGGTAAAGTCACATAGGTAGAAAAATAAAACAAAAAATAATATATCACGACGTTTCGATCGCAACACAAGCGGTCGTCCTCAGGCGGAAAAAATAATCCAGCAGTGGAACTGCTGAACTAGCGAGAGAGCTGTTACAACAAGAGGTTATATATGTGGCGATGGGCAAGCAAGCGGGGTCTGAGCTGGAAAGGAATTCCATCCCCGGACGCAAGCACGTCAGTTGTGTTAATGGGAGAGATTAGGGAGGGAGATTAAGGAGAGAGATTAGCATGCAATGAGCTTCCATCTCCGCATAAAAGTATCATCCCGCATATGCGCACAACAGCAGTGTTCATGGGAGATTAGCAATATGTTGATGGGAGAGATTAGGCAGGGAGATTAGGGGGATTAGCAAGTTAATGTCATGTCTATGTGTAACACAAGCTGCGGCGCTGCCAACTGCGCTGTGAGGCAAGCACGTCCACGCAAGGGAACCACCGCAACGGTGGTTGTGCCAGTGAGACACTAAGCCCATCCATCACACAGCCAGAACCATCGATACATCGAGGCTAAGGGAACAGAGGTGGCCATGTTAGTGAGACCCCAGCTCGTTCATGCAGAGACACCTAACAGGGCAATACAACGCAGAGAGTCGGAGATAACAGCCAAACGGCAGGGAAGAATGGAAGCACCACAGCAAGTTACGACTTTGCTTGGTTAATAACGTCCTCCCAATGATTGCTCAGCTTATACCCATCTTCTCGGTTGAAATTGTCTCCGTGTTTATATATCTGGATGGCTTAATGGACAAATCTTTGATAGTAGCCCGA